ATGGGGCCATGAGGTCTATTCCTTTGCGCATAAGAGATTTTGAGTACCGTCTAGATTTTCACATCTATGACGTCTTAGACACGTCCCTTTTGGTTGGTCTACCCTTAGGGACACTCTTTCAAGGAAGACCAAAATAGGGTCTCTTGAATTTAAAACTGAGAAGTTCTCCTATCGCTATAATTGAATCTTGTTGAGCCGACAGTCCAATTAGTTAGACCAATCAAACCATGAACTGAGACCTTAAACGGTTCAATGTCTAGCCCGGTCCTAATAACTATGTTCTAAATTCAATATGTTTTTGGGATTCCAATTGATCAAACTTCTTTTATCTTGCTTTGTAACTATAATAAAATTTTGAGAGAAATATCTATTTGGCACTCAAAAATCGGTTCTCCTTCTAAGGCACTTATGAAATCGAAGTTTCTTATTAAACACCGAATTGAATTTTTCTTTCCTATTTGGCACTACTATTCATGTCATTCACTAACAGTGTTAAGTGGCCACCAAAATGATCCATACGCCCCTCTTTATTTTAGAACTATGTGGTGTCAAATAAGGAAAGTACGAATGTCGTGGTTGTGAATAAGGAAGAGATTAGTTTTGGTTTCAAAGGTGGTTTTGATTATATATGTATTTTCTACAAATAATGGATAAATTGCTATAATTCATAAATGCTTCCTTTTAATTCAGAAAAATATGAATTTGGTACATTTTTTTTAAAAAAATACAGTTAATCTCTTTGTGATCTATAACTTTAGTTTTGATAATTTATTTATTCTTGTTCATTTGGACAATTTAAAAATTTTAATTTTTAAATATAAGAACTTTAAATAAAATCAGAGGACCGTAAATGAATTCAAATAAAACAGTCGTCGATGAGATCTACAACAATCTCTCTCTCTCTCTCTCTCTCTATATATATATATATATATATATATATTGTAATAGAAAAAGCCAAAAGGTCTTATATAATTTAGAATTGAGGGAGTATTGTATTACTATTATTATTAAGGCATTTTTTTACGGACCGGCAGCCAAGAAAATAGAAACAGATAGTCCTAGTAGAGGACTACTACAGCAAGAAAGAATTATTAACGCATCTCTAATTTTTGTTTGATCTTAGCAACGCCCGTCAAAGAAAAAGCGGCGAACTCTCTCTCTCCGGAAAGGGGGCCAGGCGGCGAGGGGCCAATCTATTCGCCGGATACTCTTATGTCGGGCGGAGCCTCGTCATCGTCCTTGCCGCCGCCGGCAGAGGCTGGGGACGGATACTGGGAGGCGCGGGAGGAGGCGGCGGCGCGGCTGGAGGCCATGGCTGCGAGGGCTCAAGGGGAGGACGAGCTCTCGGTGGAGCAGTTGGAGACCAACAACCAGCTCCAGGAAGACGAGTTAACCTATCGCCCGCCCCACCTGCTTTTGAGTTTACTAGAACATTAGGCGCCCGCACCTTGATTTAGGCTAACTTATAACAACAAAACTATTTAACTAAAGTTATAGCAATGGTTTTTCTTGCTCCACAAAACTATGAAACTAAATAGAAGTTTCCTTTCACGCGAAAACATTAAATTTTTTGCACAATCTACAACAAATTAAAACCAAGGAACACGAACTTCATCAGACATCTTTGAAGACTTTTACATCAAGTAACACATTGATTAATGCTGGCACATAGCTACAGATGGAATTGAAAGAAACATTCTCACATAAGCCAGGTAACTCATAGTCAGTTCATCTTTTACTCCTAAAGATGGTACTGAGCCTTCAGCATGAGTAGAATTTGCTTGAGATTCAGAAGGGCCAATCTCATGACCTTCTAGTGCAGGCTCCAGTTTTATATCAGCCAGATGAGCCCCTTGTTTTCTTGCAACCAGCTCGTTGTTTTCACTCATACAAGTTGCAGTGCCACCTATCTGATATTTGGAACCCTCCACTGGCAGATCTTCACCAAGTAACCTCCTGTTGGTGTTATCATCCATGGGATTACTCTCTATAATAGGAGGTGCAGAAGAAATTTCCTGCAATATGCTATCTTCTTTGTGTGTTCCCTCATGATTTCTTTTGGGACATGCTCTGATAGTTTCCATACACATTATAGACTTCCTAGGTGATACTGTAGCAGACCCGAACTTTTGTCTACCACTAGAAGGATCCTGTAGCGCTCTTTCAGAGATATATGATCAAGCTCATCCATAGGCGGAGCTTCATTGGGGCCATATAGTGAGCCATGGCCCCCTCATTTTTCCAATTTTACATAGGACACTATAGATATATGTATATTTTGCTAATGAAGTTTTATAATGGCCACCCCAACACTCCCTAAATCATATATATTTTCTTTTTGCCCCGCTCGATATTTGTCCTCAAGCTCCATCACTGAACTCATCAGTCTCAGTACAGATTTCAAGGGTTAAACGTCCTGTTCACTTGGGCTTGTTTGACTGATAAGTCATGGCTGAAAGTACCGTTGACTGATTTGGTGTGAGAGAAAAATATTGTTCGTTGGCTAAAAAAGTACGGCTTATAAGCCAAACAAGCCCAAACGAACAGGGTGAAAACCTTTGCACATTCTCCGCTTGAATCTTTATGTGTGAAAACATCCCATTTGGATTCAATACGAGCTTCCTCAGTCAATTCACACAGACTGTTCCGTGGTGCAATAAATATTTTCAACACCACTATCTCTGTCTCTGCCTTCACTGTGTTTTGTAAATGATACTGATGTAGTCACCAATCAGTTTCCTGAGAGGTTTTATCACTCGCCATGTTTGCATACAGGGCAAACACCTCCTTGCAACCTCACAGTGTTGCATCCAGGAACGATCTAGGGGTTCCAATTTTCTTCCAGTTGTTATTTGCATCATTTTCATTGTTGTATGGCTCAAATTTTCTATGGAGGAAGTATGATGCACGGCCATCCTGCCTAACACCCGGTATATCTTGAGGGTGAGTGCAACTAAACCCTCCATCATCGACATATTTAATAAAGTCGTTGATAAATGGATGGCGCTCAGGTAGACCATTCCCAACTTCTGCTGCTAGATGCCACAGAATATCGCTATCGCTGGGATTGAATTCTACACCCCTTGGTAGCCCTGGCCAACTCTCGCAATACATCAATAGGGTAGGATCAGGGGCGGACCCAGTAAAGGACATGGGTGTACATGTACACCCAATAACTGGTGGGTGCTCGTTGCCGGCGAATGGCCCAACGAAGACCTGGCGAAGGGACCGACGACGCTAGACCTGGGCACCTGGGAACCTGGCGTAATAGATGATTATCGCCCATATATTAAAGTAATAATCTTCTAATTAGAGCAAAGGCGATAGTTGAGTCTCTGGTATCGAAGTGCTGTAACAGTAACTCTAGCTCATGGCAAGACCTTTTGTTTAGGAATTAGCTCATGGAAAGACTTTATAAATATTATTAATACAAACAAAATAATCTCATACATGTGAAGTAAACTTTAAGTCCCTTCTTAGCAATCTGAGTTCAGTGTGTATACATAAACAGAAGATTTCTTTAGAATGCATAAATACACCATGTTCGCTTATTGGTTTCAGCCAGGCTTATTCAACCAGTCAACAGTGTTTTCCTCTCACAAAAACCAACACCAGCCAGCCCAAATCAGCACCAGCACCAACTAGCAAACAGCGTCATAACCAGAAGATGGATCTAGTAGTGGCAAAAACACCTTGTGAAATCCTGGACAATTAGTTCGAGAACAAATCTTGGACAGTTAGCTCAGAGCAGTGGCCAAAGACAACCAATCCTTTCCTGTAATGTTCTTTGCTAATGAGTAATTACCTAATAAAGCAGGTAAGCCAAAAAAAAATGCATGTTAACCAGCAGGCACAGCTAGGTAAAAATCATAGATCCACTAACAACCTCACTTATGTAGTAAGTCTCTGACAGCCCCACAGAGTCATGTGAAGTACAAAGTGACTTCAGCTCTTTACAGTAATAGTTACCTACCATTTTCTCCTAAACAGAGGCATATCCTTTACGGCATTTTGTAATTAGTAATGAGCAATGATAAAAGCCTGCCACTCGACCTCTATGGCTAATTTTGCTAACATAAACTGCATTTCCAGAACTGATATGGTCCATCTTAGTGCTAAGAAGTCTACAATTATATCCCAACACAGAATCTGTCTTCAGCAGAAACCACCTGAACTCATGACCATTCACAACTGCTGAAAAGCCAATAGTTGAATCGAGCAGAGCTCATCACAGTACAGAGCAGATGAAGCTAAACCCCTGCCCAATCGCACTGCCCCAGCGCCTACTCCGAGCCACACCACAGGCACCCGGCGCAAGTCGTGAACAGACCTAGATCTTCGTAGCGGAGGTGTTCTGGAGGCGGAGCCCCTGGCGTCGGCACCGCTCCTTGCGCACCTTCTCGAGAAGAGCTCCTTGCTGCTCGGCTCGCCACCGTGCCGACGGGTCAACCAAGAAGAACATCGTCGCCTCCCTCACCTGCCTGCACCCATGCACCACCACCGAAAAAAATCAGCAGAAAATCCCGACAAATTCGTGGGGAAAAAAAAAGAAAACCTGGGCCGGTCGGATTGTACCAGAACAGAGTTCTTTGTGCGATCTGGGAGACACTAGGCTTTGGGGAGCGGGGAGACATCGGGATGGAGCGAGCAAGGGGTCGGGCTTGTGCGGCGATGAGACGTTGCTGCTGCTCTACAGCGCGTCCTCGGCGGTAGGAGGCTTGGAGATGCCTGTGGAGGTTTTCGAGGAACGGCGGTGCCATGACCCACCGCCCTTGTGAGGCAACGGAGACAAGGAATGCCGGCAGGGCGAGGTGCGAGGTGCGGTGGCGGCATCAGTGGGTGGGGAAGAAGAGAGAGAAAGGGGTTCTCGACAAAATGGTTTGTGGGGTGTTTTATGAAAAACGATGATATATCGAATTTTCTCTTCTTCACATCAAAATAAAATTTAGATCATGGAAATAAACGTAAAATATCCGAACATGTGTACTGTACATTCCCTGATGGATGGACTGCGGGTTGATTTTATAGAACTCAAAGCGCTTTTCTACAAAACACCTGAGGTCACGTGTGGGCATGCGGAGGAGCCACAGATGCCCGGATGTTCTAGTGCGAGCAAACTCGAGGTAGTTTTAATAACCCTGATGTGCGTCACAGTGCGCTCTGGAAATCGGTGGATGGCATGTGGGATCCTGATTAGGGTGAAAAATATCTGCAGTTGCAGAGATTAACTTGTGACGATGCACTATGCTGTGATTGTTGTACCTACTGGTCTGAAACTGGAATTCATATATGCCTGAGTCTGCAATGGAGCTACTATTATGTAACATTGGGATATTACCATTTGCTGCTGTTAAACTGTAGATTGATGAAGTGTCGTGTTTAGTTTGAACTGGAGATTTAGGATGGCGAATTTGTGCGTCTACCACCTGAGAAAGATAGAGTTAAGTTATGGCTGAAGAATTAGTTTGGTCAATTTTAAGCTATTGTTTTGACATGACAGCTATTTGAACTGCTGTTGTCGCTAATATGTCGTAGTTTATTATATTATGTTCAGGTGCTGGCACTGCAAGCCATTTATGGGGATGACATGGTGATCTTGGAGGATAAGGCAGGTCTTCGTTCTTTTCAGGTTCGTTCCAGAGCTTTGTCCTCCTTAATCCGAACTCTCTCATTCGTCAAAAATGTAATGTTCATGTCTTCTTCCTCAGATTTTTGTTTGGTATCCAATTCCTAATGGTACTAAGGTGTTCTTGAATCTTCATCCAAATGGAACTATGGTTGGAACTGATAATGATGGTAACCAAGATGGTAGTGAACTCTTTTATGCTTGCAGCTTAAAGCATTTGCCACCTGTGGTGTTAACATGTTTGCTGCCATGTTCATATCCCAGTACAAGTGCTCCTTATTTTACTATCTCAGCCAAGTGGTTGGATGAACCCAAAGTTTCACACCTCTGTGCCATGTTTGATGAGATTTGGACTGAGCTGCCAGGACAAGAAGTAGTGTATAGATGGCTGGACTGGCTGAGTAGCTCTTCATGGGCTTGCATTTCTTTGAATGACAACATAATACTAGTCCCAGATAAAACTTCAGATGTTGGAGATGAACGTGCTATTGCAAGAAGGCTTCTAGTTGATTCTACTATTCCTCTGATGCAAAGTTACAATGGGAGGAGGTCTCATGAAATATTTCTGAAAAGGTTACATGAGTGTGGAATTTGTCTTAGTGAAAATACTGGTAATTTTCTTATACGTTATCTCATTAGGATGCTGTGTTTGATTTTGCTGACTTATTTACCTTTTTCTTCAAGTTGCTATCACTGCCTTTTGGTCTATTTTGTACATGATGTACTAGAGGCAATAAGCTCAACAATGCAAGAAATATAATTACTTCAATCCCCTAGTAATTTTTTAGAAATAAAATTAGGAAATCAAATGAGAAAAAAATAATTTTATCATAAAACAACAGTTTCAGGATCTCTGTAGTACAACTACTCAGATGGGTTCTGTAGTGACTTAGCTGCCTTCCCTTTATTCTCTACAAAGTAGGAAACATGCTCAATATAGCGCCTTTTCACTTTTCAGTAATTTTGATACTTGAATCCTATCTAGTAGTTTTTGACTCTTTGCCCCTCTTCATTTCTTGACCCTACCAGGCAGAAATTTCATCAAGCTCCCATGCCACCATTTGTTTTGCTTGACATGTATGAAGTCTCACTGCAGAATTCACGTAACAGAAGGGAATTTAACCCAGTTGACATGCCCTGATACAACTTGCCGCAGCCCACTCCCACCATCAGTTTTGAAAATCCTTCTGGGAGATGATTGCTATAAGCGACGGGAATCGTTCACATTACAGAAACTCTTAGATACAATGCCTGATCTGGTATATTGTCCAAGGTGTGATGCTGCCTGCTTGGAGGTTGACAATGATGCTCAATGCCCGGAGTGTTTTTTCACCTTCTGCTCTTTGTGCAAAGAACACCGGCATGTGGGGGAGGACTGTGATACTCCAAAAGAAAAGATTAGGATTTTGAGGGTAAAATGCATAATCTCTTAATGATTGAACTTTCTTTTTTATGAATTAATGATGTGTACAGTCAGCATTTTGAGATTTTGTTATGGTACTTAATTTGAAATTTAATTATTGGTATGAACGCATGTTTAATTGACGTAATTGTAGTATCTGGTTCCAAGATTCCAGTGTGACCTGGTTTGAGTGAAGTTCGAGGTATTCTGCTTTCCTGGCCTAGAATTTATCCACACACTCTATGTAGTGTAAGATCTTAATACTCTCTCTATAAAATTAAGTGTCCTTTTGGTGTGCTATTGAGAAGATGGATGAATACCAGTACTGTAGAAATTACCGTCACCATCTTTGGCGACTGTGTTGTTGTCCATAACATCACTTGTTTGTGACTGGAGACTTAGCTTTGTATCTACATATCTAATTCTTCAACATCTATGTGCTTACATGACAATTCAAAACTTGAGAATGATATGATATTTGCAGTGCTTTATTTGTATATGCATGACCTATTTGAGGTTCTGTATGATGTTGTTCTTTCCTACTATACATTCACAATGCCATGACACATTCTCCTTTTTAACAGGAAAAACACCAGAAATATTCCCTCCCAGAAAAACAATTGTTGAGAGAACAGAGGGAAATAGATGAATTATTAAGTGTCGGTGAAGCGCTTCGCGATTCTAAGCAATGTCCCAGATGTAAAATGGCTATCTCGAAAACTGAAGGTTGCAACAAGATGACCTGTAGGAACTGTGGGAAATTCTTATGTTATCGTTGTAACCAGGCAATTCATGGATATGAACATTTTTGGTAATGTTGATTCATGTGCAAAAATTTTGTGTTCAATTTTGTTTGCACTGATCCAGAAGCTAAAATGGTTTTTGCCACTGAAGGGATGGAAATTGTGTGCTGTTTGAACATCACAATCAAGTGGGAAGAAGATATGGACTGTTTGAGGAATTGGATGATGATGAAGGTTCTGATGATGAAGATCTAGAGGAGCCAGAGCCTGAAATGGTACGGGGTCATCCTTGTCCAATGTGTGGCCGGCGGAATGAAAAGGTTAGCAGCAGTATCTTTTCTCCTTGCATCTAGAGCATGATACTTCCATAATATCTGCTTAGAGTCTCCAAACACTAGAAGTATTTATGCATGAGTCACTCCTGCTCTAGTAAACCAATATCTGTGTAATTCGTGTGTATAGAGTTGAGTGTAAGTTTCCTATCATGCCCATTGATGTTTTCATTATTCCTGTATCTATTTTTCAATCTAATCTTTTTTTTTTTTGGTTGCCATATGATCACCATACATGCGCAGCTGGTCTCTGGAAGTGCCTTTTCCTTGTAAAAGGGTTGAATGAACAATTCTTCTGCATATACTTGCTCTAGTCACTCATGAAGCATGTAAACTCATAAGTGCATTGTAAAGGCATATATTCCTCACAGAATGAAACAGCAGACAATCTACTAACAATCTCAATGCAATGTCGCATTATTGACACAAACAATCATATATCGTGCATGGGTTGCCGAGGCCACTATTGCGCGTTATGCCGGAAGAGGGTTACGAAGAGCTCAGAACACTATGGACCAAGAGGTTGCCAACAACACACGGATCTCTAGTGATTCCAAATCTTGCTGTACAGTACAGAATCTCCTTTATAGATAACATTTTGCCACTTCCAGTGTTGGCGTCGACTTGTTGAGTTGTTTCCCAAAATGAGAGGCTTAGCCAATGTGAATTTGCAGTTGGAAGGGTCCATTGCATTTAGCTAGGATCGTTGATGTCAAGAAGATGGTTCGCCATGGAATGAACACGGCATTTTATTGGAAAATGACCATGCAGATTGAGGATTCAGTTCATTTATGATGTAGCCATAAGCGACTGCTCCGTATTTGAGTCTGAACCCCGAAAGTTTGATTTGGGTTTTCTTGCACTCTATTTATTTGATATATTCGAGCACCGATAGCCTGCAGCAGGTTTTGACTAGAACGGACAGCCATTTTATCCTGGACTCAGGAGCTGTAATATTGTCATACTCTCTCGTCCAATCTATACTGAAGTACTAATATTTATAATACCAAATAAGTATCATTATTACTATTTATATATAATTTACGGTAAACATACTTAGAGATATAAATATTTATGTCATACTCTCTCGTCCAATCTATACTGAAGTACTAATATTTATGTGGTGGGCTTTGGACAAACATAAAGTCCCAACGAAGTATGTCGGGCTCATTAAGGACATGTACAACAATGTTGTGGTTCGAACAAGTGATGGAGACACGGATGACTTCCCGATTATGATAGGACTACATCAAGAGTCAGCTTTGAGCTCTTATCTGTTTGTCTTAATGATGGATGAGGTCACAAGGGACATACAAGGAGACATCTCTTGGTGTATGCTTTTCACGGACGATGTAGTGTTAGTTGATGAAAGCCGGACATGAGTGAATCAGAAACTGGAGTTATGACGAGAGACTTTGGAGTCCAAAGGTTTGAGACTCAGTAGAACTAAAACTGAGTATATGAGATGTGACTTCGGCACTACTACTCGGGAGGAGGAAGATATTAGTTTGGAAGGTTAAGTAGTGCCTAGGCAGGATACCTTTCGATATTTAGGATCAATGCTACAGAGAGACGAAGATATTGATGAAGATGTTAGCCATAGAATCAAATGATAGTGGATGAAGTGGCGCTAAGTATCTGGTGTCCTATATGACAAAAGGGTACCACAGAAGCTAAAAGGCAAGTTTTATATGACGGCGATTAGACCTGCTATGTTGTATGGTGCAGAATGTTGGCCTACGAAAAGACGACATGTTCAACAGATAAGTGTCACGGAAATGCGTATGTTGCGTTGGATTTGCGGTCATACAAGAAGGAATCGAGTTCGGAACGATGATATACGTGATAGATTAAGGGTAGTACCAATTAAAGAAAAGCTTGTCCAACACCGGTTGATATGATTTGGACATGTCCAGCGAAGACATCCAGAGGCACCAGTGCGTAGTGAAGTCCTAAGCCAGGATAGTAACGTGAAGAGAGGTAGAGGAAGACCGAAATTGACTTGGGTAGAGGCAATAAAAGAAGACTTGAAATGATGGAATATACCCAAAAACTTAGCTTTAGATAGGAGTGTTTGAAAAACAGCTATTTACGTGCCTAAACCTTTATGGCTTCTGCTGGGTTTTCAACTCGGCAATGTATCAAGTGTAAACCAACCTCTCCGTGCAAACCGTGCAAACCAACTGCGGGGAAGAGGTGGGAGAGGGGATTTGCAAAAGTGTAATTACGTCTAATTACACTTTTGCAAATCCCCTCTCCCACCTCTTCCCCGCAGTTGGTTTGCACGGTTTGCACGGAGAGGTTGGTTTGCACTAGATATGTTCCCTTTCAACTCTAGCCTACCCCAACTTGTTTGTGACTTAAATGTTGTTGTTGTTGTTGTATACTTAGAGATATAAATATTGATACGATTTTCTATAAATATATTCAAACTTGATTAACTGGCAAAAAAACGAAATGCACGTTCTTGAGATCGAGGGAGTAACTCGTAAGTAACGCGAGGCAACTGTGAGTTTGTTTATCCTTAGGTCTTGTTTGGCTATGTTTGAATCTACTTCAATCCGCTGAAGACAGAGAAGCAAGAGCGGTTTTATTTAAATGGCTCTCTAAATGATGAATGGAGATGCTCTAAGGATTTTTGGCTGCACTTCAACCTATCCCAATACATATGGAAGGGCCTTAGGAGAATATCTTGTTCAAAAAATTGCTCGTTGATAACGCGCTGTTCGACACGTGCGCTGTTGTTATATTGGGATAGATCACTGAAAGTCAGAGTTGCCAGCAGCGAAGCTGAAAGTGGGTACGCTATTGTTCTCGTCGGCAGATTGCCAGCACTACATGCATTCTTCATCCAAGAAATGTATCAGCTCTTCATCCACTCAAATTATTGTACATTTACAGTTTCCACGTAGTAGATTTATTTAAACATAAAAATGCTGATTAGTAGCTTCGTAAAACAGCTCCAGTTATAAACCTGTGGTTCAGTACAGCCTCGGCAATTGGTCGCTTGCGGTAATTCGGATTAAGCATTGCCTGTCGAAACATAAGTCAGAGTTAGTATCTTGGCTGAAGATATTTATCCCGGACCAAAGCAGACCACTGATTCAGACAGTTCCCTAGTTGGCTAGTGTAATACCGTGCATGATGTACACAGCAATATAATTGCAAAAATTTCGTGAACAGACAAGGTTTGAGACAGCAGTTAGTATGATAGAGGCAAAACCTGCAGTAACTCCCAGCCAGCACCATCCCCTAAATCTAGAAAACTTACTGCTTCTGACAACCGGTCATCTGCCAGACAATACCTACACAAAATTTGAAAGTTCATAAGCATGTGTGTCTGAAAATCATGACTGGTCATCAGATAGAGAAATCAACACCAATGAGCTTATCAACTGAACTGATTTTTTTTACCTAACAAAAAGGAAAAAAATTCTACGACTAAGTAACAGCAAGTTTATTTTGTGTTAGCGACTCATACTCTCTTGCGGCATAAATGTCGAGCCGGAAGGTGTTCTCCAAAAGTCTCTGTACAATCAATCGAAACTATGTTAAGTGTCTGAGTGGAAAATTAGAAAACAATATTCCTCCTAATGAACATGAAGTTAAAATATCCTCAATCACCTGCAAGGAAATACCATCCATAATGCCTGCTTCGCAAAATGGAATAAACGCCATGTATGCAACAAGCAGCCCAGCTCCATAACTGTTTAGTAAAGTGATGTAAACTTTGGTGTTCATTTTTATTGAAGAAAAAAGAACAAGAATACTTGCATGTCATCAGCTATCCCAAAGGCTCGCTTCTCCAAAGGAGTCGATGCCCCAGCAGCAGAGGCTCGACGCCATAGTCCGTCCGACAGCACTCCAGCCCCAGTAGATGAATACCTATCATTGCCAAAAAGTTTTCAAAAATGATTCTGTACCAATATATAATAATAAAGGTAGGAAGGGGATGGAAATATACCCAATATCTACAGAAAAAGCCAAATCTCGCAGCCTTGGAACCAAGTAGCGTCCCTCTTTCTCCAATGCCGTGCTATAGATCGGAAAGTTACACTAATCAGTAGTTAATTGAACATAGGGAATACAGTGCAGAAAGGAAGCTAAAGAAAATATTCAGCATACTTGAGAATAACAGAAGAAGGTCCAAGGCTTTCATGCAGTCTATCATGATTGTGCATGTGGACAAGGCCACTCATGGCACCATTAAGCAACTTAAGAACAAAATATCTCCTTAGCTCCAATTTGTATGCTCGATCGAAAGGGTTCCAAAATGGCATCCCACCAGATTGCTCCTTCAATTGCCTTGCGCTTGCTAATTTCGCATAGTCTGCAGCACTATATCTCCCATCATCGCGGAAGGCAAGCCACTGTAGTAAAGCTATGTCAGTCTTGCATGCATTCTGTGAGGAGCCTGGGAACCACATAGTTATGTAGTAATATACCTGTTCTCCAGTTGCTGTCTCAAAGGCCCCTAAGAGAAACTGAATGTTCGTGCAGATGTCACTAGCATCACTCTGTAAATAGAGGAAGGGAATAGTTTTTTTGTGTGTAAATGTCATGTGTAATATAATAATCCATGGTTGCAGTTTCTGTTAGCAGTTTATGATTTACGTAACCTGAAGAAAAGCATGAGTCCTTAACTCATTCAGTGCCATCAAATCAGCTTCAGAAGCACCAGCACGGGCTCCAGGGTATACCTTTGTTTCAAATCCTATGTCTTAGCATATTAAGATAGTCAATATATTCGTATACCTATGGCAGAGAAAGGTATCATAATAAAATGAAGACAAATTGAAAGATCGAAAGTGTATGTCCTATTACAAATAATATTTTCAAGGCACTGTAGAACCAATTTTCAAGGCATGGCATTCTGCTGATTACTAAATGACGCTATGCAACTAAACTTAGCAACGCATACCTTAAATACAGCCTGTGTGCGGACCTTGAACAACTCTTCCCTCGTAAAGTCTGGAAAACAGGATGATCAACGAACAATGGGTATGCCTTTACTTTACTATAGTAAAAAGTCAGTATCAGTCTATTTAAAAAAAAAAAAACAGTATCAGTCGGAAGGAAATAACCTAATCGTCACTTCTCCTTCTCCGATATCTTGGACCCTCAACCGCTCGATCTCTTCTGGTGAATATCCAAGACCAAGGTCTTGAATACCAGCAACATTTGAAGGCTCTCCAAATTGAGACGATGAGTAACTGATTCACATGTCAGGAAGTCAGAAAAGGTGATTATTCAAGAAAGGTTCAGTAATCAGTACTACACAAAGAAAAGGAAAAGGTCTGTGAATATTGAAGAAACAATCTGTATTTTTTTTTTAATGAGAAGGAGCAGGGCCCTTTATTTATTTATACTACTACAGCATAATGGCAATCCACAATGATATGAAGTAAGGCCACAAAACAGCTGATGGCTCTTTAACAGCTCTTCGAAGATTGCAATTGTAGCATTAGATGCAATATCACTATCACTACATCATGCACTAAAATATGTGGGGAAAAAATGTATCAACAGATTTGTATTTCAAATGTCTTTGGATAAGATTTGGTTTCATAACAATCGGAATATAAATTGTAAGAGAAGGTAATGGTCTTCAAAAGAGTCCCCTATATATCCTAATTTGCCTTAATCATGTCCCAAACATTTCTCAGGATTGGGCTGACTAACTCCAAGATCCCCTCTTCACGTCCACGCTGTTCATGTCGAAGGGATTCAGCATAAGCAACTAGAAAACTGCACATGTTGGAACCAATCCTACACACATGACGGCTCCACAGCCGACTGCAACTTCTGAACAAAATCAAAATGTAACCGCACCGCCCGCAACTATTTCTCGGATAAAACCAAAATGGGAAAGGATTCAAGCAATTTTCATGAAAAGCTGACCTTGTGATGTTCATGAAGCCATAGCCACCCAAGAATCTGCCCACCTCGAAGTAAGCGGGGTTGGTCATGAGCGCTGCCGAAATCAACCGCAGCGACCGTCGTGGTAGTCGCCGGCTCCACCCACCGGGCTCCGGCGAGGCGAGGAACCGCACAGGCAGAGCTTTCAGCATCGTAGCTGATGGACTGACACTGGTTTTGCGATAGGCATTAGAAGCCATCTCAGCCACAGACTGCGTTTCTGTTGTTTGCCCCTGAAATGAGCTACCCCCTCCGTTAAAAAGTGCACTTTTTGTTTTGCTAGAAGTCACTAATATAAAGTTTGATTAAGTTTATGAAAATAATATCAATATTTATATCTTTGAACAGATTTATTATAAATTTTTTATAATTAAGTTAATAATATTTATTATATATACACGCGCTAGGTGTAGAATATTATTCTACACCAAGCTATTATACTGAACAAAATTCAGTACTGTTCAGTAGTTGCGTTTCAGTATTATTCATTATTTCGGGATACTTGGTGTAGTGCTGACTGATACTGAACGCGGTTAAGTACTACTCAATATTTTTTCTGATCAGTTTTAGTTTGTGGTGTAGAACACCTAGGGTATAGAATAGCGCTACCATTATTATATATTATAAATACTGTATTTTATTTAGATTTTGTTAAATTTAAATTGTTTGTCTTCCTGCGAAGTGAGAAGTACATTCTTGTTTGGACAGACGGAATACTCTTTATGTAGGGCACTTTTCTTCTTTCCTTTTTTTCACTTTTTCCCCCTATTTTAAAGTAGATTTTGTGAGACACTGTGTCCACGTCTTCTTTTTATTAGAGATACACTGTTATGAGCTCTGTTATCAATTGTTAATATGCTATAAATAGTTTATAAAATTTCAGTTGAAGCTCAACACTTTTAGTTTGAGCTACCAAAAAACTTGAGCTGTGTGCTCAACCTCACCTCTGTACAGTTTTTAGTAGAACTTTGTGTTTGTTTCATCCCCACTATTCTATCAATGTATGATCATCAGTGCTTTGTTGCATTAAAAAGAACAAGAAAATGTGATAAGAAGCCTTCCAAATTTTAGTGGAACAAACGAGTAATCTAGTGTCCAATTTTGTGTCTAATTTTCATTTCAGATTTGCCACACATTTTTATTTTATATAAACATTTTTTTAGGACTAAGCATCTATTGTTTGTTTTTTTTTTAAATAAAGCAATAGTGGTAGTAGTGGATATCTATTCTGAGCTGCCGTGGAGCTGACAGACTCAGAGCCTCAGAGCTGACAGCCCGTACCGTAATTCCAGCAATTTCCGTTACGCTTCAGAGCCTCAGAGGAGAGATGCTTCCCTGCATTACGGGCGAGTGGTAGGTAGTCCGTTACACCGCTCCCCTGATATTGCAACTCCTCTCTCACCGCCCCTCTCAGGACTCCGGGTAAACGCACACCAGCAGCTACACTCTCGGCTCCCTCTCATGCAATCCATTGTGACTTGCGGCTCCCAAGGCACAACAACTGATCGTGCCATTGGCAATGGGAACGGCGAAGCTGCGAGAGCGCACGCAGCTCAGGCTGTCCGTGCTGCCGCCGGCGTCGCCACCGCCGTTCATGTACCAGGAGCACCCGTTCGGCGCCCTGCCATCCTGGCCGCCCGGCTCGCCCGACCCCGTCATCGACAGCCTCACGGAGCTCGAGAGGGTGGGCGTCCTCGGCCACGGCGCGGACGGTACGGTCTACAAGGTGCGGCACCGCCGCACGGGCGCGGAGCTCGTGGTCAAGTCGCTGCGCGTGCGCGACGACGGCGGCGCCGCGCTCCGGGAAGCCGACGTGCACCTCCGCGTGGCCGCCGCGGCGCCCGACCATCCGCACGTCGTCCGCCTCCACGGGGTCTTTCCCGGGAACCCGGCCGCCTGTAGCGACCAGCAGCTCCTGCGCCTAGTCCTCGAGTACGTTCCTGGCGGCTCGCTCGGCGACGTGCTCCGGCAGTGCGGCCGCCTCCAGGAGGACGCCATCGCGGGCGTGGCGCGGCACGTGCTCTGCGGCCTGCGCCACCTGCACCGCCTCGGCATCGTCCACGGCGACGTCAAGCCGTCGAACCTCCTCGTCGGCCGCCACGGCGAGGTCAAGATCGCCGACTTCGGCGCCAGCCGCCACGTCCCCAGCGCCGGCGGCGCGCAACGAGCGGCCGGCGCCGAGGGGACGTGCGCGTACATGAGCCCGGAGAGGCTGGACCCCGAAGGTTTCGGCGCGGCCTCGCCGTCGGGCGCTACCGACCTCTCCAGCGACGTGTGGTCCCTTGGAGTGGTCCTCCTAGAATGCCACATGGGCAGGTTCCCGCTGGTGGCGGTTGGGGAGAGGCCGGAGTGGGCGGCTCTGGTGGTGACCGTGTGCTTCGGGAGCGCGCCGGAGGTGCCTGTGACGGCGTCGTCGGAGTTCAGGGGCTTCGTGCGGCGGTGCCTGGAGAAAGACTGGCGGAGGAGAGCCACAGTGGACGAACTTCTCGGGCATCCCTTCGTCGCGGGGGTGCCGCCATGTTGCGCCACCACCACCACCAACGAGTGGCTCACCAACTTCGATGACGAACTGATGACGGTCGAACGCAAAGAACACACCTAATACAAAACTCAACGACCGTGGCGATGACGAAAATAAAGTCCTAATGGTGATCAACGGCCTCGTTAAGGAAGATGCAAATCCAACTGAACATGAGGCCGGCCAAGCGAACTTGATCAGGTTTGGGAGCATAATTCAGAGGTGTCTGACTCCCATGGTAGATCTGGTGATTAGCTGCAGGCTGCAGTTGCTCTGTGAGGCAAAATAACCAGCTTCGTTATCCGTGGTGGCTGGTAAACACGCAGTGGTTTGCATGCAGATTTGGGTGGTGAATCATGAGTGCTAAACTGCCAGCTGCTCGAGGGAATAATGGCTTGGCTTTCGCTATTCCGGTCAATGTTGAGCTCCAAGCCTCCAATGGTTGTTTGCGGTGTCATACTGCAGATCTCAGTTTTAGAAATATATATCCCTTCCGTCTTTAATGCACGTCATAAACGGAGGGAGTACCATCACAACCTTGTACGATTTTATCAACGCCTATAAAATAGATTGTTCAATGCACTTTTCAATTGGAATGCATACAAAAAGTAGAACCGAACGCCTATCAGCTGCCGCCGCTCGGCTTTGGGCGAGTTTTCTAAAACTTTTCTGATTCACCAGTCTTGGATTGTGTCATGTTATTTCAGTTGGAGAATCGGAATTCCTCTATTCCTTGTGTGTTTTTTGTTGATTCACGGTTCACTTTTTGTTTTAACCGTTAAAACACTATGATTATACTACTCGCAAGGACGTGCCCACTGGGTCTTCGCAAAAATTATCAACATGGTGTAGCTTTGCAGATTTTCATCCAGACCTCTGTATTCTGTATTAAGTGTGGAATCTAACTGAGTAGATTGAGCGAAACCCTGGCTGTCTGTAATTTTTGTACTTATTTTTTAATGCATTTTCTGTAGGGGCTTTTCTGCCCCTCCAGTTCCCTAAAAAAACTGAGTAGATGTGTAGATCAGAGACGAGGAAAATGCTCTCTCTCTCTCTCTGTTCCTGATGTGCACCTTCATAGGCAAATGTTCATAGACCTCTTTAACATGTTATGTTCTAGGTTGCAGCTTCTGAATGTATTGCATATTCAGAGAATGTTATGCCAGCGAGGAGTAGCAAGTGATTTTTTTCACAAGAAGAACAAACTTTGGATCCGCTAATGATGTAGAGAAACTTTTCTTGATTCGGGAGTAGACAGACATAGTGAAATTTAGTTCTTCTCCAATAGCTTGAAGCTAAAGAGGTCACATGTGGCTTCTCCTAGAACATAGCTAATCTGTGTATAGTTTGAAGTGTTCTATTTTATATGTTGTGTCATTTGAATATTATCTCAACTTAAGGGTGTGTCTCTACTACTAGTCATAAGACAAGCACATGCTAGCTTAGCAATCGGTGTGATAGCACCTTCAATTCCTTGCATAGTAAATATCAAATAGAAATGAGCTTGACAATGATTTAAAGGCTTATAATTGTTCTTTTGTTACACAAATTCATCAAGTATAGCAATGAGTAACATTTATAGCAGGTAGAGCTCTAGGAATTTTGACAATGTCACATCAAACATATTTCCGATAGTCTTAGCAGTCAAATTGATTTTGTTCTCACTCTGAAACAAAACTTCACACTTGCAAAGTCTAATCTTTGCATCTTATAGAAGAATAAATATATACAATAGGTAGTATATGTGATCCACTGATTCCATTTGCTGGTAAAAGAATCTAAATTATTGGTTCGTCTCAGAGTCATGTGGTTTTCTGACTGAATTGTGTTTTGTCTTGTAGGCTACAACTACTCCATGAGCAATTGAGATGGTTATCCTGGATATCTAAATCGAGTGCGACGATAGTGCTGCTAGCTGAAATGTGTACTAGTGATAATCCTAATCCATGTTTCACATATGTGCTGCGGAGAAATTCCACTATCCGTGCTTAGCACCAATACATAGACAACTCAATAGGAATCTAGTTGAGCCACGCTATGGCCACAGCGGAAACTAGACCAAAATGATGTAATTGTATTACATTTTATTTGAGTTATGAAAAACTATTATATTACATTATATACATGTTAATATATGTCATTTATATTCATGATTCTAAAAATATTGTAATTATATTCATCTTGTTTATGCTTGATTTGTTTTATATCGAAAAGCAACACAATGATATTACATGAATCATATTTATACTTGATCATAGCTACGTGCAGGCATTAAACAATTTATAGATAATCAAATAATCAATCTATTTTACGAGTTGTCTATGTGTCAGATGAAAGAAAAAACTTGTAGACAACAAGCCGTCCATGAACATTCTCGACCTTCTACCAAATTACGTACTCCCTCCATCCCAAATTATAAGACGTTTGACTTTTTTGCCCCCAAGTTTGACCACTCATCTTATTCAAAAAATTTATGCAAGTATAGTCAAATTTAAGTCATTCTTGAAGAATTTTTATTAATAAACCAAAACACGACAAAAGAAGTGATATTTTACACAAAATTTTGAATAAGATGAGTGGTCAAACTTGGTGTCAAAAAAGTCAAACGTCTTACAATTCGGGATGGATTGAGTACTTGTGAGTTTATGTCCATGCCAAATTACAAACTTGCTCTCAATACAATGGGACACTACCCTCCAGCCATTGGATATGGTAATCACAGCTAGAAACACCTTTGGCAATCGGATTTTCAGGGAACTAGTCATAACTGCCTGCTGGGTCATATGGAGGATGAGAAACAGTATCATTTCCGATGGACAAAGCTGCAGCCGCAGCAAATGGAAGCTTGACTTCAGCTTGCTTTGGTTTGTATCAAAGCTAAGCGCAGCAGGAAAATAGAACTAGATTTTTGCTGCGGGAATTTCACTTAATTGTACTCTCTCTCTCTCTCTCTCTTTTCATTTGAGCTTTGTGAGCTCTATAATTTGTACATATCCTTTATTCATCATATATATATAATGTTTTTTGTTTTGACAATCTCAATCTTCTTTCTTTTTTTCTTTTTTGTTGTGAGTCAACTAGTAGTAGTTCACCATGGAGCACTTTTGCCTGATCTCGCCCTCATGGCCGGTGAGTACCTCGATGGCGCCCATCTTGACCATCGCCTTGGCGAACTTGGCCTCCCACGCCTCGCCGACGGCGGCGTGGAACGCGACGAGCCCCGCGGTCCAGGGGCTGTCGAGCAGTGTCTGGTCGGAGGTGAAGGGCACCTTGTGCGCCAGCACGTTCTTAAAGTACTCGTTGTCGAAGGTGTTGGGCGTCACCGTGTCGAGCGGCACCGTCGTGCGGTCTTCCGCGTTGTCGTCCGTGGATGGTGGGCACCCCCGCTTCAGGTCCGCCGCGTACGCCGGGTGGAGGGCCGGGTCCGTCCGCCCCGCCTCGCCCTGGAAGCTGTACAGCCGGTCCGTGATCGACGAGCAGTGCGAGCGGCCGATGGAGTGCGCGCCCGAGAGCGTGATCATGTCGTCCGCGGAGAGGCCCTTGCGCCTGAAGCTCTCGATGAGCTCCGCCACGGTGGAATCCGGGAACGGCAGGTTGTCCTGGAGCACCTCGTCCTTGACGGACACGCGGCCGTCGCGGCGGCCGGCGGGGACGCGGTAGTCGATGCCGCCGGCGAGGTAGGCCCCGTCGCGCGCGGCGAAGGCGACGATGTCGGCTCAGGAGACCGTGCGCGGTCAGTGCGCCTCCACGATGGCCTTGGCCTCGTCGATGACCTCGAAGCCGCGCAGGCTCGGGAAGTTGGCCGGCGAGTACTTCTCGGCCTCGTGCGGCTGCCCCGGCGTGGAGTCGAGCAGGATGGAGGCGTCGCACCCCCTGACGAAGCAGTCGTGGAAGTGCATCCGGATGAGGCCCGCGGCGAGGCCGGGGTCCCTGGCGACGGCGCGGCGGACGGCGTTGCGCACCATGTCCTCGGCCTGCGGGCACGAGTGCTCGTAGAACCCGACCTGCAGGGGCGGGGACGCGCGCGCCGCCGAAAAGGCCGCCAGCAAGGCGCATGCAAACACTAGCCACTGATTCATCATGCTCACTTGCTACCAACCGATGAGGCGATGATCACTCGATCGATCTCGGTTTCCGACGGCAAGCTCGGTTGATCAGTGCAGGTAGCTTTTAACACTGGAGCTCTTAACCTCGCAGGCGCTGAGCTTGTCAGCTATCTGAACTGAGCTGAAACAGGAGAGAACGAGCGAGGAGTGGTGATGGGCTGATGACCAGTGAGTTTCTCTATTTATACACGTGCATCTCTAAACATCGGTGTTAGCAAGTGACAGTTGGGAAATTGCATACATGGTGCCGAGTCTAAGGAGAGACCCGATCCAAGCAGTGGCTAGTCGACCTCCATCAACCCGGCCACTAGGCCAATGTTATGTTTAGTCATCAAACAAGCAGGCGCATGCTCAAACTACGCATGCATAGACCTCGTCGACTGGCATTGGTCCACATCAACATTCCCCCCCCTGCAGGTCATGATTTGAGTTGCCACAACTCTACACGACGTATGCATGTAGTACTCTGAAAGCATATTGGTTCCCAATTTAAGTTTTGGAAATTAACGACAATTTGAGAAGTAATATTTTCATTTGAGATACGAAGGAAGATTAGTCAACATGGAGATTGGAGCTACATTAGATATCATGAGATGATCCGAGGATGAAATATAACCAGGTTGATAGGCTAGGTATCCTCACTGTCATGAACGGTTAATGTTCATCTTTTTATACTCCCCCGTTCCAAATTATAATACATTTTTGCATTTTTAATACAATAGCTTTTGTTATGCACTTAGATATGAACCGTGTCCAGATGCATAATAAAATCAATGTGTCTACAAATGCCAAAATATCTTATAATTTAGAACGGAGAAAATAGTTCTCTAGCGTCGTTTTTTAAGTATTTGGATTGTATACATAAGAATGAGACCGTAACATATAGGAGCGCGCCCCCGTGCCTGCCTTACCCCACCTACGGATGCTCGCCGGGAGGCGTCTGCCAGCCTCAAGCATCTGCACGGTGATGCATGGACG